CGTGACGTCGGTTACCAAGGGGGTAGACGAGCAAGGCGTAGTGACGTCATTACAGTGTGACGGCATGCAAAAAAGTGTAATACAGAATAACATTCTTCCGCAACCTCTTTATGAAACCAGTTCGGTTTGAAATCATAAAAATAACACAAATACGCTATTTTGTCAATTTAATGCATGTAAGACGTGGGTAATACATAAATATCTATGTATTATGTGACACGTGAAGATCCGGGTTAGAATTGATGTTAAGTAGCCCATGCTTGTCGTAAGAGAGGACTAACGGGATCGGGTGGTCAGGCTCGCTGACTTGGTAGACACATGTCATCGTATCCGAATTGCGTAGATCGATGCTCATAATGTTGAACACTGGATTGTCTGGTCCAGACTCGATATTTTTATTTACAAACTACCGCCATATAGCTGGAATATTGCTGAGTGCGGCGTTAAACAACAAACAACCAAAAACTTGGTACTACCTTCAGGTGTAGGATAGTGGAACATGGTCGCTTAGTCTATAGATGTAATTACAATTTCCAGTCGCCCGTGAGGTTAACAATACTTCTAAAACTTGACTCATTTACCCGTGTTAATGTAGTAGTATAGATGACTCCAAACAGGAACTTTGTTCTGTTTTCCTGAACCATCCATCTCGACAATCTTGGCCCGACCGATAAGGACCGCCTATTACATATAAAGATGACCCACTTTTGAACTACAGTGGAACTACATCTGTTCAGCAAACATGCAGCGTCTGATGAGATGTGCCGATACAGAGCTAGCAGCGTGTTGGCATGAATGACACAAAATTCACTATAAACATTTGGTTCTTAAACGAAACACAAGCATGCAGATACTTGTATGTCACATTGACATATTTCTGTAGGCCTTTGTTATCTAGACGCATCCATGCAGTACGGGGTACAATTCCTGCTGTCCCCTGCTTACTATTCCTGAAAGCGGTAAAAACAAAGTTTTAACCCTGTCCACATTCATATGAAATTTCTGCTAAAAGCGAGCATGGGCATGCGTTCATGCATCACTAGCAAATAGTGATGACACCAGGTGTTCGCGAAAGGGTTAGCGTATCCTGCCCCATGTGTGACACCTGTCATAAACACATGCATTTTCGTATGATGTAATCAAATTATGCATTCAACATCAGGAAACTTCACCTTTGCTCTATTTTATTCTACAAAATATGAAAGGCTCGGATCTATCCTCGTGGTAGTCTACGAGGGAGTGAGTGAGGGAGAGTGAGTGAGAGAGTTTAGAATTACGCCGCTTTTAGCGCTAATCCAACAATATTACGGCGAGGACATCTGAAATTGGCTTTATACATTGTACCCATATGGGGAATCGAACCCGGGCGAACGCCGTAACCACTAGGCTATCCCACCGCCTCTACAGCCTATACCGGGTATTTGGGCATAAAACGTACGTGTGTGTGTGTGTGTGTGTGTGTGTGTGACGATTTTTCCTTGTCAATAAAAGAAACTTGACGCTGCGTATTGCTTAATATTCCTCGTTTTAGTCCCCCTGCTTTCTTTCTTCTAAGTTCTCACGATGCAGCAATAAAAACTAAACTCACTCACTCACTAGGACGGATTTCGAATTTTCGCACATACGGTGTGTGTCATCAGGGTATGACTGATGGTTGTTTGATGACCTTGGTGAATCTCCCATGAACATACAATACAAAGGCGAGTGGTCCGATATGCCACAGGGAACACCTCATGTATGGCTTGTGGGTTTAAATATGTCTCAACCAATAACAACTGTCTGAGTTTAGTTACCTTGAGGTTGTGTAAATGAGTTTTCACAAAAGGCTACTTGCACCGTTTATGTCCTTACTCATTTAATGGATATATCCAAAAATGGATTACGTAGATCAGTCTAATCAGAACCGTCTGTGTATTCATTGTGCTCCACATTGATATACAAATATACCTTATGTTTCTCCTTAGTCAGTGTCTCCTTATCAGTAAACGATAAAAGTACACATAAAGTCCGTGCAAGGCGAGATATGTGTGTAGGGTTCCTTCAAAAGAATCTATAAGGTGAGGTGAGGTGAAATTTGGTTTAACGTCGTGATTGAGAATATTTCGCTCATATGACGACGTGCATGCGTGTGTGTGTGTATGTGCGGCTGCTTGTACTAGCCTAGACTTAAGCTGGTTTTATAGTGCTAGCCCACTGAGATACCATGCCGCAGTGAAGCATGAATACCCCACTCAGACACATTATACTGACTCCGAGCCGACCAGTCCTTGTAGTACCTATTAATGCCGAGCGCCAAGCAGGGACCAACAAGTACCATATTTTAACGTCTTTTGGTACGACGCGGTCGGGGATCGAACCCGCGACCTTCCGCTCTCCGGGCGGACGCTCTAACCACTACACCACGGAGGCGGTCAGAAGAATCTATAAAATAGATCAGAAGAACTTGATTTGGCAACACTGAATATCTTATTTATCAGGAAACTCAGTCTATATTTGACCCCACAGGTTGGACGGTGTGCCTCTGTGTATTTATGAAGGGTCATTGTAAAACAGAATCCGTCAGGGAAACCTGTACTCCAATCTGCTATGTCCAACGTCTACATCTGTGTAAGCAATGAGGAGCTAGTTAAGTATTAGTCGCACATCGAACAAGTAATATTGTGTTCTCTGCAGTCGAGAAGAACAAGTTTGTTTATTAATGCCCTAAAACCATGAGTCGATACTTCAGGTATGCCACATATGCAGATATTAACATGCCTATCTTATCAAGAATTGGCAAATGATTCATATAATGAATGGGACATATGTTGTTATTACAAGGAGCGTCCACTCTCTTATCTGTCACAAAAAGTACATAACCATGTCATGGTGACATTGCCAATTAATTTGTTCTTGTCTGTGCTGTTTGCAGAAAACGTCCCCATGGTCCCTAGTACGGTGGTCAACTTTCAGTTGCTGGTGACCTATAGCCAGTTTTTTTATATTGTACTGTTGTCTATAGTGTTTTATTTTTATGATAGCGTTTTAGTTTTAAATTAAGAGCTTTGATAATGAAGTATTTATACTGTCCTGTGATGACAGGTTTTTACGTTCTAAATTTATTGATTTAAATATTTATTAAATTGTTCTCAGTCACGATATGGCTGCAATATTGCCGATGTGACGCTAAATTTTAACTCACTCACTCACTGTTTGCAGATAACCAAAACCACATTACCAGCATATTGGACTGCTATGTAAATGCTGCTGTTAATAACGCAAAATTGGAAATTGGAATACATGCTCAACGAAATTTAAAACTTGTTAACTTGAATCCCACAATGGAAGTAGTGTGAGCATCATTATGAAAATAGATGTGGACCATGCGGCTACCACCCAGGTGAACACAACAGAACATGACAAGCATTCGATTTCAAAACATGTGCGATCGTTAAGGTGATCACTTGACGTGCTGCACGTGACTGGCGTCCTTTTCTCGCTATGTCGCAAATGTTTCACGTGGGTCGCCAGTCCCACGTTCAAACATCGTATTTATCATTGTTACATGTCACAAGGAGAAACTATAAAAATGATACTCCAATTCACTATCCCAGTAATATAAGTGTCACGTTTCTATCTGTGTTGAGCATACTGAGGGTTGCATTTTGTAGGAATTTGATACTTTAATGACATAAAAGATGTTGGTGCAGTTCTCTATTCTGACGTTTACCACCTTTTCCCGTTTCTTCGTTTTTGGGATGCTCAATTGATTTGCTTTGGCAAGTCTTCGTGACAGGTACCACTGGTGGGACACGATACGCTCCACCTTTCGCGAACATCTGGAGTCAGCACTATTCGATATTCATTAACATACATTGAGGAAATGGTCTGAATCAGGCACTTGTTTAGTTTTCATATCAATATTGGGATATCGCTTTCATGTATTTGATTATTAGTTTACGATTTTCATAAATGTATTTTAATGTCCGGTAGTGGACTTTCAAAATTGACTCAACAGGGAAGTGTACTATACAAGGACAGTATTTGATGGGGACTCTAGTTACAAAGTAAGATTTCCTTAGCAGCCCCGCGATTAATGGAACGTGTGGTCACAATGACTTAGTAGATTGTATGTTCAAACGTTAAACGAAGCTTCTGATGTCAATTACTGTATTGTCTGGACAAGACTCAGTCATTACAGAGGGTCGTGTTATAACTCAACTGTTGAACAACAAACGTTAGGCTGAAGTGAAGGCGGTTGGTTAAAACAACCTGAAAGTAAAGACCGGGGCTCCTCTGTTTTTGACGGGGCATTACTTAGATAACACAACTTTGAAAATACGTCCCACGTACCCAGGTGGTTGAGAAATGTTTGTCACATCGTTGTTTCTGGCATCGTTGATTTCATAACCTGAGTCCACTAAGAGCAAAAGGTCAATGAACATATGCGACTCATACAGCTTTCCCGAATCAAAGCATGGGGTCCTTGATTACTTGTTTTAATGTGGCATGGGCTCGCTGTTCTTATAATATTTTGGGTGGTACATTCCTTGAATGTTGGCTACGGTTTAAATAGACTAAAGCCCAATTTCAACCATTCGAGACAAAATTGTCAGTGATCTTGCCGAAAGCTCGTTGAGGTGACTAATATTACAGAAACGGCAATGGAAGTGAACCAAACGTTTCAGGTGGTTGTTTTCCCACACCAGATTTGACTCAACCAAAGTCCTCCCATTGACTTCGTATTGGAATCAACGGTCCCCATACAAATTGTGCGAAATCTGACCTCTTGGAAGTGAAAGACTTGGTACGATACCCAACAAGGATGCAATGTGTGGAAGTCATAAATTCATACTCAATCAAACAACTTAATCTATTTTAAAAAAGGAAGAACTGTATGTTGGTATCAGTCCTCTTCTAATCATTCACTCTGTCCCTTCATCAAGTCTGTGTTCAGGCGTTTTGGCTTTTGTTCCCTCATGTTACAGATACAGCACCGTGGTAAGAAGAGCATGCCGAGATAACACTAGTTTATCATTTTATTTCACGAGTCTACATTAAAGCAATTTCTAGAACCTCCTCTATCGACTGTGGAGCTTGATGATAAGAGTCTGGATTCTGTAAACAATAAACAAGTTACTGTATTTAGTAAAAAAAACAATTCCTTGAAACAAATATGGCGGACGCTGGTGTGGACTAGTGGTTGTCGATCGTCACGCCGAACACCGAGGATTCCCCAAGTGCGTACAATGTGTAAAGCCAATTTCTGACACCCCCAACACACACACACACACACTTGATATTGAAAACTCTGCTTATAACTCTTATAACAACCCTCCAGTATCTTGGACTCAAGTTTCAATTGGTATACAATCTGGAGTGTTCGCTTTATCTTGCTGACAAGCGTGTATGCATACGTACCCCCTGCAGGCGAAGTCGCAGCCGAGGTCGAGGATGTCGTTGGTAAATAGAACTTTGCATTCAGTCTCACACTGCTGTTCGGTAGTGTTACTTCCGTACTTCTCGACAACAGCATCCACCAGTTTGTGCAGCTCAGCGCTGTCAAGGACTGAAAGAGAAACTCTTCTGAAATGTTTGTTATTATATACATTGTAGAATAAGGCTCATGGATAGTACACACTGTGTTAGCAAAACCGGTGACTGAAAACGTTAGCAACGACACTCCTACCACCTGACGAAACCGTTCTTGAGAGATGAGTGAAAATCGAAGAATGTTGGTCTGCACTGGCCATGGCATAATGTAAACATCCATTGTCGTTAATGGTGTACAGATCTATCATGTATTCAACAAATAAGCTAGTTCACAAATAAGCCGGGTACCTACACTATACATATCCTCATGGGGTTCCGGGCAAAGACTGAATCGCCTTTCGTAAAGCTCTTCTCAATTCTGTCACTCCCCTTGAGCCATTTTCACTCAAAAATCTTATATCAAACCCGTCCATATACGCTATCCCGCCAGAGGATAAAACAGCGAATATCCCTAATCGTAATATATAAGCGTATGTAATCGTTAGATTTAGAAAGAATGAAAATATATCCGCATATTTTTTTTCTTTCGGATTTAGAAAGAATGAAAATATATCCGCATATTTTCTTTTTCTTTCGTGTTTTAATCCACTTTTTAATCTCTTTTCTCTTTAAGGCCCCCAATATTGACTCTGGAACCAAACCATCAGACACGAATATGCCAAGCTAATTGTCTAGTTCTAAAACACACTACGTATCAATTATATTCTAAACCAAAGGCTTGCGTCATATGGTTCTTATTAAATTATGTTTTTTGGGTACCCGTTGTCCTGAAGCATGACGTGTTCATGCTATCAGTATCCCAGGCCGAGATTCGATCATGTTCACGCCACTCTGACATACATTTTATTCTTCATGACGTGAATATGTTACAGTCAGATTGTGAAATCAGTCATTTCATGAAATGACTAAACATTTCAGTCATTTCGTGACATAACTAAGAGGGTCAGCCAACTATCCCTACTGCTCGTTCTCTTTCTTCCTGTGTTAACCTTGGCATTCTCTCTGTGTGACTTTGTGTGCAGTGATATTGCAATGTTGGACAGGCCATTTATACTGATTCTTCGCACGATCTTTCCCATGTATCCGAATAAGACATGTGTTCGGTGTTTCTGAGAGTCGGGGCCACAAATGCGTTTTGGCGATTTGTTTCGTGCATCATGAACATTGGCAATCGTTATCAGACACATTAACATCAAATTTGATGGAAACGTCCAAACCTATTTACATAGCCAATAGCGAAATGGCTGATCCTCTTAGTCATTTCACGAAATGACTGATTTCACAATCTGACTGTAACAAATACACAATGCCGTTTAGAAAGTGGTCAAATGTAACAAATGCTGTATTTGGGATTACATGTTCTCAGTAAAGTACAGATTCCAGTACTTTTGTTGTGACCGCCTCCGTGGTGTAGTGGTTAGAGCGTCCGCCCGGAGAGCGGAAGGTCGTGGGTTCGATCCCCGACCGCGTCATACCAAAAGACCAAAATATGGTACTTGTTGGTCCCTGCCTGGCGCTCGCCATTAATAGGTACAACAAGGACTGGTCGGCTCGGAGTCAGTATAATGTGTCTGAGTGGGATATTCATGCTTCACTGCGGCATGGTACCTCAGTAGGCTAGCACTATAAAACCAGCTTAAGTCTAGGCTAGTACAAACAACCGCACATACACATACACACGCATGCACGTCGTCATATGAGCGAAATATTCTCAAGCACGACGTAAAACCCAATTTCACCTCACCTCACTTTTGTTGGGTTGAGTCCCGTCCGGGATTCAAACTCACAGAGCCTGGCACCTAATCGCCAGCACACAAAGTCAGCCATCTAACCCCCGTATCCGTGTTCCAACTGTCTGGTCGTGAAGCTGAATGTGATTCGATCTACCCACTGCGTCACATCAATAGACGATAAAACATGGTGGTTATTGTTAACCAGCCAGTTGTACTTTTGTCCGTGTTGTGTAACCATAGATATTGACAGACATTTTTCACAGCAGCCTGATCTTACTTTTGTTCACTGTCAGTGTTCATCCCAAAGTATAACGTTTCCTATGTCTGCGGGCGGTGGGGTAGCCTAGTGGTTAAAGCGTTGGCTCGTCACGCCGAAGACCCGGGTTCGAATCCCCACATGGGTACAATGTGTGAAGCCCATTTCTGGTGTCCCCCGCCGTGATGTTGCTGGAATATTACTAAAAGCGGCGTAAAACCAAACGCAGTCAGTCCTATGTCTGCAATCATGTAAGAGGCGGTGTGATAGCCTAGTGGTTAAAACGTCACGCAAAACATTCAAAGTCAATTTAAATCAATCCAACCTTTTTAATCGTAGAATATGTGTGTTTTTATTATATGGCTAAATGTGCCTAAACCGCTAACGGCTGAAGGGGTGGTGTAAATCCAGCTGGGGTCCATGCAGGAAGCAAATGTACTGTAAGTCCCCATGGTCCCTAGTATGGTGATCTACCTTCAATTGTTGGCAATATATAGCCTGTTTTTACTTTGTATTGTCATCTATAGTTAAACTGTTTTAGAGTTAATTACAAGTTTTAAACTCGAATCTGTGATAATCTAGTTATTTTACTGTCCTTCGTTGACAGGTTTTTACAATTTACCATTAATTACTATGTATAAAATTAATTGTTCTCGTCACGATATGGCTGAAATATTGCCGATGTGACGATAACGTTTAACTCACTCACTAAAACGTCACGCTCGTCACGCTGAAGACCAGGGTTCGATTCCCCACAGAGTACAATGTGTGAAGCCCATTTCTGGTTTCACACGCCGTGATATTGTTGGAATATTGCTAAAAGCGGCGTAAAACTATACTCACTCACTCACTGAAATCATGTAGACTTACTGTTTCCAATCAGTGCCCCGAAGACAAGGGGGAATAGACACAGGAAAACAACGGCGACCTTCATTCTGTGGGTAAACAAGAGTGAGTGAGTGGTTTGTTTTGAACAACGTTTAACTGATGACTGTGACGGTAAGATATTGGAAAAGATTAATAATGATTTAAAAGCAAAATTTACACTATTTTGTGAAACCATCGAGCACATGGTACTGTCAAACCATGTCATAGTCAGGGAGAGTCCGACATTGGATTTGTTGGCCTATTGCTTAACACCGCACTAGGCAACATTCGAGCTCTATGGCGGCGGTCTGTAAAACAAAAAGTCGGGACAAGCCTACCCAGTAATCAACAGCACGAGCATTGATCTACGCGATTGTGATACGATGATATGTGTCAACCAAGTCAGCGAGTCTGACCACTCGATCCCATTAGTCACCTCGTACAACAAGCATGGGCTACTGAAGACCAATTCTAACCCGGATCTTCACGGGTCTCTGACCGGGAAGTGTATCTGCAGCTTCCTTCACCGATGACATATACCTTGTGCTAGTGCTGGTCAAAGAATCGAACCTAAACAATTCACCTTTACCACCATATGCTACCTTAATGACAGAAATACGTTCCTTACAAATTTGAATAAAGTACATACAAAAACATCATCACATATTTATTCGTGATAAGATAACATGTCCCTATACCTGTTAAAGTGTTGCAGGCTAAGGAACGGTGACAGTCATGGTTTTACTCAAGACTAGTGTTTAACTGCCACGTCTCTATATAGACAGGAATGAGCACTATGGTTACTGTCTCTCATGAAATAACCAATGTAATAACATCTTACTTTAATGTTTAATTCTAGCATGGAACGAATGGTCATTTAATCGAATATCTGGGAGTAACTACACTAACCAACCATGGGCAGTCTATAAGACAGAAGCCGTGTTAAATTGTAGTACCGTAATCTTACCTGAAGTTTTGAATCTTGTGCAGAGCTGCAACGCCTATGATGACGACAGTTTATATACTCACAAGTTACCTCATCCAAATGTTGGTTCTCACGAAATGTGTTACTGCAGAGCTTAAATTATTAATTTTTCTGTAGTGCTTGCATAACCTTATCTCAAACTCGTAAGCACCAGTTGTGCATACTGAAACAAATTCCGATATTATAAGAGTGCGGTCCTTAAGTTAGTAGCACAAATGCAATTTACATATATAATGTTCAGTTGATTGATAAATCTCAAGATACTTTCTACCAAAGTATGAAATATACGTTTTGCAAAAACTGTTTACAATATTGTTACATACTATATATTCCGTAAAAACGCGAAAAAATATTAAACAAAAGGTGTTCACGTAAAAACGCGAAATATATTAAACAAAACCGTAAAATAGATAAAACATTTTATACAAACGATTCTATACTTATGTGCTGGTATATAAGCTGACGAGCTGCAATATGAGTTGAAGGCAGATAATGTTCCTGACTGTCTGTTAGTATCACTAGGATGGTTATGGTGGTTGACGAAACAGTTGCTGCCACAACAGTTGCTGACTTGATCTATTTGATATCTGAAAGGGGCTTCTTGTTTTAGTTGTATTTTGTATATTGTAATTAGGGCAGTGTAATATTAAGATTATCGGGATATGGTTCAAACATTGGGTCATTCAGAGTTAGCTCCCTTTGAATTATCTGCCCTTGATTTCCATAGCAACAAAACAACAAATGTGCTACCTTCAAGGCGCTTCAAGGTGGTATAGCTACTGGAACGCATTTAAAGAGGGGGAAAGCAGCTGGGCCTGATAATGTTATTAAAGAAATGTTAAACTGTACGCAAAATAAAACTATGCCTTTTCTCATAAAATGCTTCAATTACCTTTCTCACAGCAGCACTTTTCCCGCTAGCTGGTCCCGTTCTATCATTATTCTACTGCATAAAAAGGGGGACTCTAGTAACCCAGATAATTACAGGGGAATATCTATGATGAGTTCATTAGGGAAGATATTATACAACACTATTGAACAATAGGATATCCCAGTGAGCAAATTTGCGCGATAAAATTCCAGAAACACAAGTGTAACAGAGTTGCACGGGCAGAACAAGAACACAAGCACAGCAAAGGAAGGTGATCAGGTTTTATTCAGAGCTGCAGGAAGGCGTGGCAGACAGCAGGGCTCGAGGGGGGTCAGGAACATCAGCAGAGCGTAGAGCACAGGGCGGCTGGCTGGCTAGATGCTGCTCCTAGAGGGAGATGTACTCCTTGAGGCGGTCGAGGCGAGTCTCTTTTGACCACTGCACAGTGGGTCCTTATAAGCAGATTTCTGTCCGTCCATCATGCCACCAGTGGACAGGGGAAGGTGCCATTGTCCCTTGTTAAGTCTGAGTTACTGCTGTTTTTGAACCGTCTATGCTACCTCCAGTGGACAGGCGAGTCATTACTATGAGATATTACCCTGTTTGTGGCAGGGCGGCATTGTACAGTTGGTCAGCCTGGGGTCACAGTTGTCTGGAGCTCAGCTCGTTAATCCGTGATACTGTCCGGCGTGACCATATGCCAGTTTCATACACAGAGCGCGACAGCTAGCAGTGCTGAGAGAGGTAAGTTAATTATTTATTTGTTCTTGGCCGAAAATTCCAGGTTGTTTTATAGCTTTGTTTGTTTGTTATAGTTTCTCGGTCCCCTGAGAATAATATGGTGATATTATTCTATGCACACCCAATAGTGTAACACTCGCCCCACACTTTTAAAATCATTGGGGAACCAATTATTTAGGCGTGAAATGTTCGTCTAGAGGATGTCCCATGCGTTGTGATTTCAGTTCCTGGTTTAATAGTCCAATTCCTGTTCACCCAAAATATACGATATATAGTTCCCATTACCAACATAGTATCATGTATAGTCAGAGCTGTGACCTGGGTTATCGGGCGCTCGTCGTGGAGGCAACACCAGGCGTTAATGCTCATGGACGTTACTAGTAAAAACACACCAACATAACACACACATACACTGGTATTGTTGTTTTGTTATACAAGGAGCAGGTCGACATATTGCCTCCTCTTCCAGGATCCGTTGACAGGGGGAAGGGTCCCAGTTATAATGATGACACAGTTACACACATGCTGAATATTTACACACAAAACTGAGTCCGAGGATTCCAAGACGTGTGAACCGCGCATCACTTGGCTCAGTTGTGATTGGCCTACCACAGCTCGTAGGGCACTGTTACCGATAACAACAGTAACACACAGTGGAGGAATTTACATTTCAAAAGATAGGTCCATTAGACTTTAGGGCGTTATAGGCTACCGCGTCGCCAGGCCTACCTTCACCAGGGCTGCAAAGCACCCAGAGTTTTATAACGTTAGATACATCTTCATACACACATTAGGATGCTAGTAATATGTACACACCAAGAATAAGTCCGAAGGTTTTGGAAAGCATGAGAGTCAAGCAACACTTGGCTTATTTCGGTCGGGCCCCTTCTAGCACGCAGGGTCCTTTTAACATCAGTATCATGTTCATCTCGTAACCTGTGGCTGTCATCCGTTCGTCCCTGGATGGATGTCCTTATTGCTCCCGTGGAGAGGAGTCGAGTCCAGGATAGAGATGACGGATAACCGGCGCCGTTGTAGACCGCCGGGGGTCCTCTGCTTTCTCTCCATCCGGTAGGAGTGGCGCAGACGCTACTCGCTGTCTGAAAGTGTTACTCGCACCTTCCGTGTTGACCGGTACCATCTCCATATCGGATGTAACGTCAGGTTGTGTTCTACCACCTACTAGTTTGGCAAGCCAGGTTCGGAGAAATTTTCTATACATTACTATTCCCCCCTATTATTGCTACGATAATCACTATTACTGCCAGAAAATATTCCCAATGTGTTACAGGCCCTGTATCCATCTCGACCATAGTGGTATCTATATCCCGTAACTGTTGTACCAGGTGGTTCATAGGAATGTATTTAACGTCCTTAAGCGGCGCAGGCACTTTAGCGAAAGTCAAATTATTAAAATGTATACGCAAAGGTTCCAGCATTAGTATTTCGGAGATATTAGCGTTATTGATTAAATTCTGAAAATTATCATTTACTGCATGGTACGTTTCACGGTGATAATAGGGTAATAACGTTAGATGATTATTGGAGGCAGAACATGTTTCATTTAATCTTATTAGGCCTAATGGGGGCTTTACAGTGAGGGTTCTAGTTTGTCTTACATCTTCCTTACACACAACTGTAAATACTGAAACATCTGTACTGGCAATAGCCCATTGACCTTTGGCTATATAGGTTGCCTGTGGCAACAAGGCCCGAGGTCGGACGTCTGTATCACAAAATAGTTTTACTTTGGCCGCATTTTGGGCAAACAAGGCAACAACGCACAATTGACTCAAATTGATGGGGTATACCGGACTTTCGATAAAACAATATTTAGACATAGGGTGTGTGCAAGTATTGCTTTCTGATTCTTTTAGCAGTAAGTACTGGGTACGTTTAGCGTTTACGGCGATCAATGTTGTTTCTAATCTATACTGGGATAACATATTGTGAACTGAATTTGTTGCCTGCTTATTGATCTCGTTAATAGTGATTGGGACGGGTAGATTGTGAACTCTGTAAATTTCGAAATGTCCATTAATATCCAAAAGGGGTACATTAACAAGGACCAATATTTTGTCGTCGTAAAGAATAGTGCTACATTTTAAATGTTTATAGTAATCCCAAAGGGCTTCGTTAGGCTCGTCTGGAAGTTTGAATCGTGGGGGTAGATGTACTTTAACGTCGTTCAGGATGGTCAATAATGATGTTGGGGTAATAGTACTTGGGGACATGTGTCCTAACGATAACATATTTAGTTGTAATTGGATATGCTCTAGATAACCTGTTAGAAGATGAACAGTGTCCCTTATTTCTTGGATTGCTAATTCAATTTGGAGATACGTGGCTGTGGCCCATTCTAAATTTATGATACGTATATTTAACATATGCGTTACATTGCTTATCTGTCTGTCCACAGAGCGTAATTTTCCGAGAATTTCATTTATCTTATTCCTGTTTCCAGCTATTTCTACCCGGGAGGTATTTAGAATAGTGAGACTTTCGTCTACTACATGAGATAAGTGTTCTTGGTTATTTGCTAAGTTTTGAACATTTCGTTTTATGCCAGACAAATCGGCTTCTGAAACCGTACCAAATAAAAAAACTTAAAGCTCTTCCCACAAAAGGTAACACTGATCGTTTGGGTCTGGTCAGTCGCTGATATTCGTTAAAATTGTTACCTAATGCTGTCAGGGTATTGTTGAGACTAACTGCATCTGCGTCTAATTTAGTAAACAAGTGAATTATTTTTGGTGCCTTGACACCCAAATGTTTCTGAATCAAATCACGTAGAACAAAGGTCACAGTTCCAATGTCATTACGACATTTTTTCATGAAGGCATAGTATGGTTCTAAGTCAATTACCAAAGTAAGTGTCCACTTTGATCGTGTAGTCGTGATATCATTAAGCTTTTGGAAAATCACGTTCTCATACATCATAGTACTGCTGGCTATGCCAAACAATAATAGTAGGAGAACACTCATGTTGTGTTCTGCAATGAAGCAAAAAAAAATATATATAGATATATTGTCATAATTACATAATTCCCAGTCGTCGCCCTATTCTGATCTAATCCAAGTCCGTAATGTCGCCAGGTCAGTTGAGAGAGATTTAATAGTCCGTGTCCGTGATTACTTCGTCACATAGCCAGTCCCTACTTAATTCAAGTAAGTTAATGCCGTAGGGTCATAGTTTGCAATCATTATTATCTGTCCGTCTTGTCGTATCGTCCTTATATAATGCCTGTGGTCAACTATTACCTTAGTAATGAGAAAGAACTTGGACCTGGGGATGGAATAGGACGTTACACATACCTGAGTCAATAATTAGGTAATGGTAAAATAAACAAACAGACCATATATGATTATGCACAAGTTAACCTGTCTCCAGTCTTATTACGAAGCCCTATAATAAGCTGGCTACGGCTTTCAGAAGGGTCTTGACCTTCAGGTCTCTTTCAGACTCATAAGTCT